GTGAAGTATCTTGGCAAAACAAACAAGTATAAGATCATAGTCCCGCGATGACGCTATTCAAGGTTGCCTTACAAAAATGATCTTGGTCCCTCAAAAATGCTAAGATACTTTGAAACATTGCTAATCATGGTTATACAATGACCCACGCCCGTCCCGTTTACATCCAAAGATGGGGTTGCTTACCAAATCAATGGTAAGACAACAATGTCAAAGGAATAGGAAATGCATAAGAAAGACATTTGAGTAGGTAGATTGTTTCTAGTTACTTGCTCTAAATTCAAACAACCATCCTTGCTATTTTCAAAATAAACACACACACTTTTCAAAACATCTTCCAAACATTGAAAACATTTTCAAAAAGACAAACATCTTTGTATACATTCTTACGAACGAGAATCATTACAAAGATTTCCTAAACGATGGCCTCTTTTACAAAATACTTTCAAAAACCACACAAAGCATAATTTCAAACAAAAAGCAAGTGATCTAGCAAGTAACTAAGAGCCCATGGAAAACCATGGATAAAAATGGTGATAATACCTTCCCTGTTCATAATCTACCCCCCGAACTCAAGAAAACGTCTCAAAGGTCTTTCCTGTGCTTTTTCACCTTTCCTTTTGGATAAAAGAAAAGTCGGTGGCAACTCTTGCTAACCGCGACATTTGCGATAAAACGCAAAACCCTCAAGTCAATTCTCCCACCGTATCACAGGTAACATGTGTTATTTTTATAATGACAATTGAAGAAAGATCATATAGGCTATCCAACATATTAAAGATGCAAAAGCAGACAAATAGAATGAGACATCACAGCGTACAATCAACATGATAAGATGCTACACGGTAACTAATGTAGAAGAGCAATGAAATAACATTAAGCATACTAAAAGATGCAACCATTTAGAAAGTCGACCAATGTACTCAAGCAGTCAAAGATGAAAGTCATGAACTTGATATATGATTGATAAAATCTTCAAACACAAAGGTTTCAGTCAAGGGAGTTTAGATGAAGATATTATATCAAAAGCCTCAAAGAACTGGAGAAAATATACAAATATCAATAATAGTGAAGAGAAAACAAACAGAGCTTCAAAAGACATATCAGAGCAGAAGGTCAAACATAATGAAAACATCAGACACATGCTTAGGGAAGTTACCCCAATTTAGCGACTGAGTGAATCAATGTAAGAAAAAGTTATTTTTCCCTTTAAAGAAATTGGTTATAGGCACACACACACTTAAAACGTTTTTATAAAATATTTTGGAAATAAAGTGTCTTGATGAAATATGTAGGAGATGCCTATAAAGAAATGGGAACATTCAAAAATCCAAAATATATATTTTGATTGGATTCAATTGATTAGACCAATCGATTAGATTGGTGCATTATTGAATATAAATGCAAATTGAATGTACCCAAACGATTAGCAACAACTATATATTACTTCTCGCCTATTATTGAAATTATCAAAGTTGGAAGTTATCATTTTTGAAATTAGGTTCCCATAATCTATATAGGTTGGAGGTTACCAATGTTGTTGAGTTTCCCTTAAGACTATTATAAAGTCTTCTTTATTCAAATGTTTAAGATCAACAATATTGATGAACTCATCGTTAGGTTCATGTTTAGCCCATTATAAAACTATAGGTTAGTTGATCAGCCTATTAATGTCCCAAAAGGTTAATGGTTATCATGTCAAACTATACTGAGCTCATATATTTTTAGTAGAGAGAAGTGATGGTACTTTGATCTACATATAGGATAAGAGCTTGGCCACTTCGATCTCAACAATGGAGAAGACGCAAATGTTGATATATTTCGTCTTGTATTTATCATGGTTGTAAGACAACCAACATTTCCTTGTATAAGGGGGTTCGTGAGCTTCACCTACTAAAAGCTCTCAAGTACTTAATGGAAACTCTCAAGACCAGTTCATATGGAGAGGAGTAGGTCCTTCAATTTTGACTGAACCTCTATATATTGTGTTGTTCTTCTTATCCCTTAACTTTTTACTTTCTACTTTTTTATTTCAACGTTATTTTTCTACTGCTAAGATATAAAAAAGTTTTTGAAATTCTGATAGATCTTAGGTTTTAGAAAACGTTTTTCAAACTATGTTTTAAATCTTCGAAAAAGTTTTCAAAACCATGTTTTTCTGAATCACTCAATTCACCCCCCCCCCCCCCCCCCCCCCCGCCCCCTCTCGTGTGTGAAGTCTCAAGTCCAACACTATAGTACTCGTCCCATACCCATAGTTTGAAAAACTCTTCATACCCGAGGCCATACCCTCATAGGCACCAACCTTTATACACGTACATGAACCCTATGGGTACCTAATTACCCGTACCCGCAATTCTAGTAAAAATAAATCTATCTATTTAAAATTATCATATCATTTTAAATTTTTAACAAAATTAACGTAAAAGTCAAAGATTTTACTGTTGAATTATGAAATAAACAAAGACTTATATGAAAACGTGTAATTGTTTAATTATGATGTATTTTTTAAAAGAGATAGACATACATTTTTTATATGATGATATAAATTAAAAAATATAAAATATGCATTGTATGGGTATGTGTGCAGGGTGGATACTAAGGTACTCCGTATTCGTACTCATACTCGTTTATTTTAATAGGTAATTACCCGTGCATGCACTTGTACCCATTATACTGGTTTTTACCCTACCAGTTGTGGGTATTTTTTGCAGGTACACATTGGGTATGAGTACAATTTACATACCTACAAGGAATCAACCATAAATATTTGATATGTCATTTCCACCATCTCCTCTTAACGAGTCATCTTCTTCTTACTGGTAAAATATGCATAATCTTCTTTGGAGTCACAATATTAAAGCTCCCTAGGTGTACTAGGACTGGGGTTGACAAGGAAAAAAGTATATATGATTGCTAATGAGAGAGAAGAGATCTCTCTCATATCCAAATTTCTTTAACCTGATGCCCATTTTCGGTGTATCTTAGAGGTGGGTTCACTAAAATAAGGATTGACTTTTGTCCCCCTCTTTTGAGAACTTTCGCCAACCATACTGAACAAAGGCCTGAGAATATTCTCACTATTACATCTATGGTAGGACTCTCACACTTGGTCACCTCTAAGATGGGGACGGATTCTCGTCCAAGTTGTTATGGTAGAAGAATTGTTTTAAAGGACATATTTTGAGGTTGTACTCAAGAGGATCACCCATGGAGGTCACATATCAGAAAAACCAGATGGTGAGGGTGTACTCCTCGAAGGAATCCTCATCTAAGTATAGTCTTCAAATAACTTATCTTATGCGCAACATATAGTAGGAGTTGACAAAAATTAGTAGGATCCCTCAAATAAAAATAATCGAATATGTAGTGGATCTTTATGCCTTTATCGAAGATGTTTCAACTCTCGTCATTAGTAGTTGTTTCAACTAATAAACGAGTTTCAATTTACCGCCTCATCTTCTTCAAAGAATTAGCTCCAGAATAACCCTCCCCTCCAACAAAGTCAGGGCCTTCCAAGAAAGTGGTGAGCTTATTCTTCAAGTACTTTTATTTTTGGGATAGATCACCAGTATGATATATGTACGATCCTTGTCCCATAATAAAGTGATTTTTTTGCTAAAATTCCAGACATTTAACAATACATCTTGAGGGGATCCCTGTCTGAATTTCACTAATACTCACATGAACAGTGTGGGTAAGAGGGGTGCCTAATTAATATGTGTGCTTGAAATTCTTCATATTGTCTACATATACTTTAAACATCTATTTTCCCTTCCAAAATAAGAACAAGCCTTGAGCTCGTTGCATATTGAAGAGATAAAACAAGAATGCCGGTGTCAAAGTGCCTTTCTTGTATTCACGCGAGTATTGAAAAACTTTGATGCAGACCCAATTCATAGGATATAATTTGGATATAGAAATCCTAAATGATTAACAATCCCACCTCGAAATTATTAAAGGGTGGTCGGAACCCGATACAGAAAAAAATTCACTCGTGGAGGGGATGAACACACCCCACATAACAACTGCACAACATCTTATCATTTTTAGAAGGTAGTACCCCCAAATAAGAAGAAGGGCCCACTTTGGTGAAGGCATTATCTATAACTCTTTCATGCGCAAACACAGTGACCGTGTTCAGTGCCTCTTAGTATACCCAAAGGAGTTGATCTTCGACCTCAGAAGTCTCGCCATTTTTATGATCCTTTCGGTCCATTGTTGCTCGGCTCTCAAAAGACAAAAAGAACTACCATAATGTTCATACATAGATCCATTGTCCGGACTAAGAGAGATAAAAAGGCCAAATATGGATAAAAGGCCAAGGAGGACAAATAAATAATGAGCCTGGTTGTGCTTAGGCGGGTTGTGCTAGGCTGGGTTGTACCAGATTGGGTTTTGCCAGGTCGGGTTGGTTACCGTTACGGAACCCAATATGTAGCGGTTACGAGCGTTACAAGCCATTATAGGCAGTTACAGTACTTATAGACAGTTATAGACGTTACAAACACGTTAATGACTATTAGGTCAATGACTTGCCTATATAAGGATTCCTTGGAGAGTGGAATGGGGATCCCTGGCTAAACCTCTCTCTCTCACTACTAACTCTCTATGAGACATTTCAGAGAGATACTACATATTATATAATAGGGCTCCCGACTGAGGGTTAAGCAAGACACATCACTTGGAGCTTACACATACTCGTGTAAGCCTCTGAATCCCTCAAAATCATAAACAATGTACTCTCATATTACTAAGGCTCTCCCTAACGTCCTCCGACTAACAGGAAAATTCACATATTTGGTGTTTAGCAAGAGCATTTGGCGTCCACTGTGGGGGCCCGATAAAACTTTCCTGGGCCACACTATTATTCATATACGATGTTATAGGTGATCTTATTATTGTTCCTGGAAACTCATAAATACCATGATCGGAGATCGTTATCCTAAACATGGTGCCTTCCAATAACAATTTCACACTAAATCTACACGGAGGAGAGAATAATGCTTGGTGGGAATTTGTGTCTTATTTCGTCTGAGGAACATAATGGCAAGATCCACTCCGATGTCTCATTCATAAAGGTAGAAATGGACGGCCTTTCCAACGACAAAGAGGAACATGATTTGCCGAACACCCTTCATGCCGTCTTTGATAGTGGTTTGTATCCCGATCTTGTTCATCAGCGACTAATCTCGGACTCTCCAATTGGCTACTATATCACCGTCTTCTACTTCCGACACTTCATCAAAAATGAAGGGGTTGGGCCTACTGTTATCTGATGGGGCCAAAGCTTGGATGTTCCACCATGTTAAGATGAACATTCAGCCTTCGACCATGGCGGCTATCAATGAACTTTAACATTAGGATTGAGGTTTCAATTAAGCAGCATCCAAGTTACTGATGAAAGACTGCAGAACATTTGGGAGGTACGTATACCCGAATGGAATACCTCACAAGATGAACTTTATCATGCGCTAGATTTCGTCCATTATTATTACACTATTGTGATTATCAAGTGTTTGTTGAAATGTCGTGTGTGGTGTTATTTTATTGTTGAGAATAATTTTGTGATTATCTTGACAAAAGTCTTACTCATCACCCAAAGAAGATCAAGTTCTCTTGTTACGAGGTGTCGGTATCAATTTCTTGGTGGGGCTAAATGGGCTCGATAGATGTTGCCAAGTAGAGGCACAAATGAAACATTTGTATCTCCATTGTCGTCGGCACCCTCATGGAAAGATAAGCTCATATCCAGTTCGTTTTAGTGCATTCCAATAATTCATTGAGAACTTTATGTCGAAATGTTCTTAAACATAACGTAATTAGACATAATATTTCTAGTAAATTGGTTCAAAAAAGGATGTGTGCATAACGTATTTCATACTTTTAATGTCTATACAATAGTTGCATTTGATCACCCCATGTTTTGATTAGGAGTCTGTACAATTGGATTTTACAATGTTATAACGTCTGACTATTTTGCACAGACTGTATCATTGTTTGGGGGTTGAATGCAATGCTTAGAACTACTGCCTAATTTTATTATCTTTCATAGATTATTTGAGCATGTTATATGGGGGTATGAGAAATCACTTTGGCATGAAAGTTGCTAGGAAGATCAATCAAGTAATACAAGCAAGAGGCAATCTTTGACGCGATGCCCGAATGGATTCAATGTTCAAGGATTCTCAATATGGCGCGTTAAAATAGCGCGGTACCAGCATAGACGCTGAAGATAAGCGATTCTTACTACTTTATTGATCAATCATAATCAATTATTGTTTATTTCTAAATGATTACTATTATGGTTAGCACAAGCATTATGATTTACACATTGAGTGTCATTAACCGTGGATAAATTCATTTATGGTATGAAGTTTAAGGACTCATAATAACAAAAATAATGATGTTATGGTCATAAAGATGAAGTTGTCAGACTGTTACGAAAGGCACCAGGTTGATGTATTATCTGGATAGAGAAATTCTCCGGCATGATATAAAGTCATACGAACTCCCAAAAGATAAGTGATTCGAAATATCATGATTATTATACAGTTTACAATTCTGTTATTATTGGATTGTTCTACTTGTTAGGCGTCGAAAAATGTATCTTTCATACTACCTAATTATTGAACATTACAATAAAAAATATATTTGGAAGATTGTAATGTTTTCCTAACCATGCTCAAGGTTATCATAGGAAGGTTATCTGTGGAAATTGTATGCTTGACAGGGACAATTTTCGCATCAACAGAATATGCCTTGAAGTTCAACATAACAAAAGAGCAGATTATGGAATGAATAACACACTCGGAAAAGAGCACGAATATTTTACAAGAAAACACCATTTTAAAAACTGAAAACATAACCGCCATCGATCCAAATATGACCGTCGGAGGGCCAATGCGCTAGAACACTGTTCGGAATAGACGAACAAGATCGAATTCCCAAAGATCACAATTTTGCTTTAACTTCGAGGACGAACCCGCTGGTATTTATAAATTTGATGTCTGGTGAAGGAATGAGAATCACATCTAATCCGGGAAATTCAGTCAGGAGGATTAAAAAGTCTCCGACGTTGATATTTAAAACTCAGATAAGCTTAACCGAGCTGCCCATGGCCAAATGTGAAAATCATTGTGATTATGCAACTTCATGTCGAGAATGATCAATGTAGTAGCATCATTAAAACATTGTTCTCGGTCCAAGGAAATCGACAAAGCAACGAAAAGAAGAATCCTCCTTAGCCGGGATGGCTCTGGTTTAAAGTGTTTCACCATTTTTTGACAAAGCCTCACACTTGGGGGATTATATAGACATCCCGGTTACACATGGACAGTCCGGTTATAAGCTAGTAAAACCTAGCAAAACACAGATTTATACTAATTAGTATTGTTGTATGAAGGTGAGCTATCGCCTATGCTGTTTTTAAACTAGCTCATTTAGATTTGTTAAAAGAGGAAAAAGTGTCGTCCTTTTCCCCTACGTGAGCGGGAGACACCCTACCCTTGTTAAGTCTCAAAGTTAAGTGAGATTTGTAACAATATGCAAACGAATATGTAATCCGTTATGGTCGCGTAGTGCAAGTTTAAACATCTAGCCCAAACCTTTAGGTCAACCTTTCTAGGGGCTCTGAACCAAAACTAAAGTCCAAGCACACTTGAAGATTCTGGCATAAAAATATCTCCGAGCTCTGCACCTTGGTTCTGATCTGGGCCAGCTCAGGTGTATCCTTTATGAGCTTTGCACCTTGGTTCTGATCTGGGCCAGCTCAGGTGTGACCTCTCATGGCTCTGCACCTTGGGTCATATCTTAATCCTACTCAGGTGCAACCTCTTCGGCGATGTACCTTAATTGGATTATGTCAGAGTCTGGATAAGGGAATTCTCGAAGGATTTGCACCTCGGTTCAAGTCTTGAACCACTCGAGGGAAACCTTCTGGGTTTAAACTTCTTTCCAAGTGGTACACCCTTCGAGATAACTCCCGAGTAAAAAAATATTTTTGGGCTCCGCACCTTGGTTCTGATTTGGGCCAGCTCAAGTGCAAGCTCCCAGGTGATGTACCTTAATCGAATTCCGTCCCTTTGAAGGTTCTACACCTTGGTTCATATCTTGATCCGCTTCATGTGTAACCTTTCTGACGATGTACCTTAATCGGATTCCTCCCCTTCGAAAGGCTCTACACCTTGGTTCATATCTTGATCCGCTTCAGGTGTAACCTTTCTGACGATTTACCTTAATCAAATTCCTCCCCTTACACCTAGGTTCATATCTTGATCCGCTTCAGTTTTAACCTTTCTGGTGATGTACCTTAATCAGATTTCGTCCCTTCGAAAGGCTTTACACCTCGGTTCATATCTTGATCCACTTCAGGTGTAACCTTTCCAGCGATGTATCTTAATCAGATTCCTCCCCTTCGAAGGCTCTACACCTTGGTTCATATCTTGATCCGCTTCAGGTGTAACCTTTTCGGAGATGTACCTTAATTGGATTCCACCCCCTTCGAAAGGATCTACACCTCGGTTCATATCTTAATCCGCTTCAGGTGTAACCTTTTCAGTGATGTACCTTAATCAAATTCCGCCCCTTTGAAAGGCTCTACACCTCGGTTCCTATCTTGATCCTCTTCAGGTGTAACCTTTCCGACAATGTACCTTAATTAGATTCCACCCATTCGAAAGGCTCGACACTTCGGTTCATATCTTGATCCACTTCAGGTGTAACATTTCGGGCGATGTACCTTAATCGGATTCCGCCCCTTCGAAGGCTCTACACATTGGTTCAAAACTTGAGCCGCCATAGGTGTAACCTTTATAGGCTAGAAACTTCAGTTCATATCTTGATCCTCCTCAAGTGTAACCTTCTGAACACTACACCTCATTTCAAACTTAATCCACCTCATGTGTAATCTTCCAGGTTGTGTACTTTAACCAGGAACACTCAAAAGTTGCACCCCTGAGCCGACAAGGGTCAACTTTATAGCCTATGTATTTTTGCCTTTATATATGGACAGGAGCGAGCACCCCCCGGTGATCATGAATATGCCCGGCCTATGTGTAAACAAAGAGGTTGACCCCCATCATGGTACTCCTTGCCAAGTGGTAACTCCCTTTGTGGTAACTCCGGAGCAAAAACTTAAGTCAATGCGCACTCTAAGCCTCTCGCACGGTTAAACGCACTTCAGGGTATGAAAGTAACCGGATCAAGTCGATGCCCACTCTAAGCCTCTCATATGGCCAACCTCGCCAAGGCTCTCAAACTGTTCTCAGTGTATCCTTGCAAGGGGCTCTGGAACTTTAAAACTGGTTAAGCCTCCGAGCCTCTGTCCACATAAGCCGGATAAGCCTCTGAGTCTTTCTCGCAAACTCGCTCAAGGCATATTTCTGCATCAGTTAAACACTCCCCTCACAAGGGTTGGGTAACATTAACATTCCCCTCAAAAGGGTCGAGTAACATCAACACCCCCCTCATAAAGGTCGGGTAGCACAAGTCGTATGCTCCCCCATAAAAAGAAAAGTGAGTCTTAAAATAAACTCCGGGGAATTATTGTGAAAAATAGACATGTAAATAGCTGGGGATTTTTATAAAAACTGGAACTACATGATCGGACATGTACAACCCGATAAAGACTCTATGTCCGAGGGGTTTATATATATGCACCGGACTATCTTCAAATCCAAAAATGCATGAACCAAAGAAATGCAAAAGCTAAAGATACAGATAAACCGAAAGCATCAGTTACAAAGCCACGAAGGGTATGTCAAAATACAAAACCCAGAGGCAGAAGACTTGATTATAAAATACTCCTCGTACAAGAGACATAAACTTTACACTCCTCATCAAAAAGAGTTGAGTACATGACCAGACTGGAATCAGGCCCATCCGGTCAACCCGCCTCGGAGTAAAGAAAATATGAACCACAAAATGGTCAAACACCACGACTCCTCGGCTATATTAATATTCCTCGAGCCCGGACAAGTTGCCAAAACATTTGAATATTATCTAATGAAGTGTGTGTCTTTCATTGATACCCAACGAAATAATACTTACCTCAACAGCAAATAGTATTCTAAAGACGGACAGATAAAAAACCCATTATGGTAATTCCCAGGCTCAACAAAGCTCGCTTGGGGCTTATCAGCTTGAAAAACAAACAAGTGAATGACCAACCAACCTCAAACAAGTTTAGGGGGTCTTAAAAGAGACACCAGGTTGATTGCATATAACATCCAAAAGTGACATAAAACTAAGTACATAAAATGCGTAGTTCGATTGACTT